TTGTTTTCTCTTTTTGCTTTTTTTTTTCTTTAATGTTGGCAACATCTTTGTTGCTAAGCAGTCGTTGCTGTGGTGATTTTTTGCGCTGCACTTCCCAGAGATCACAAGTCGGTCAAAAGAGTGTGGCCGGGAACGGTGACGTCTTCCTCGGGGTGAATTTGGTGAAAGGGAACTTTGACTTCTCTCACTTTCTTTTTATGTGACTTGAATGCTTCACACCCTGTTTATTTTTTTCCCATCATGCACTGGAAGCACGAGGCGCACCACTTCTTCTTGTGCATCCCAAGATTAAAAAAAAAAAAAACATCCTTCTTTCAGCTTTATAAAAAAATAAGGTCAGAGAAAGCAGTGTTGGGATGATGTATAGCAGTGATAAAACTTTACTGATGGAGCACCTTTCATGCAGGTGGAGTCTCTCAGAGTGATTTAGGAGGGAAAAACAGAAGAGGACTTAAATCAAGCACATTTTAAAAAAAAGGGTTCAAATCCAGCCTGAGTAAAATGAAGCAAAAAAAAAGGATAAAAAAAACCAACATGCACCACAAGCAATGTCAGGTTGGTGTATGAAAAGCAAAACGCACAAGGAAAACCTAAAAGAGGAACATAAGAAATTTGAATAAACACATGTTCATTTGTGTTTCAGAGTTTGCATCTCTTAAAGCCTCAGGTCGGAAGCTCACACTTTAAAATGCAAAGTTTGAAAAGTGTGTAGTAGTGAGTTTTTAGAGATCTGTCTGCAGAGAGTAGAAGGAAACAGAATCTCATTAAACAATGGTAACAGGGAAACATGCTATGATGAAGCCTTCCTTCAAATGTAAACAACATAGTAGACACCATGCATGCAGATTTCTAGCCGTGGTGAAGTTGCAACGTGTGTCCTCTTTTGCTTTTGTGTATTTCTGGGTTTTTATGGCCTTTATTTTAGAGATAGGACAGTGGATAGAGTCAGAAATCATGGACAGAGAGGACAGGAAGGACATGCAGGAAAAGAAACCACAGGTCAGATTCGAACCCGGGCTGCCTGCTTGGAGGACCTTATATATGGGGTACATGGGAGGGGCACTAACCACTTGGCTACTGACGCCCCCGAGCTAAAGGCTTTTGGGATTAAAACAGAAACATTTGACATCAGAGAATTAGGAATTTGTAGGCTGAGGCTCAAACAATGTGAGGATAATAAAACAGTTTCAAATCAATCCTTAAAGACACTGAACGCCGGTGCAGGACAGCTCAAAGTGCTGTGATATCATCTCCTTCTTCTTCTAGTTAGGAGCCACGCTGCAGACGTCCGAATGAATCGTTCTTCAGGGATAGTTTGGTTTGACCAGTGAATGAGTTTGAGATTAAAACCCGAGCTTGTGACTTCTGATTCGCCTTTAATGTCCAACACGTGGGCCATGATGTTCACATCATATCATTTCACATCCACTTTGCTGAAGCCTTCTTTTTCATCCCCTTCCTGAGCGGAGATCTCTAACAATAGAAGGAGTCAGGTTCACCCTATCGACTGGTCTTCCACCACCACCACCACCACCACCACCTCCCACCCCATTCCTCTACTAGTATATGTACTCAGACGCACCTCCAGAATCACTGTCGCTCTCTCTGTGAGTAATTACAGCGATTAATGCAAGGCCGGAGCTCGCCTCTGGCTCTGGACACTCTATCAAGACGCGTGCGGTAATGGATGAAAGTAGATTCTTAATAGAGAATCCATAGAGTCTTCAAAAAAAAAAAAAAGGGTGGGAAGAACAAACCGGAGCATATACCTTTTTTAAACAGGACTGACTTTACCCACAATCCTCTTGGGGGATGGGGGATCGTTTACCAGGCTCGAAAACAAGAGAAAAAAAGCGGTCGGGTTCTTTTTTTGCCCTTGTCGCATGCGCTGACCTCTAAAAATGGACAACAAAGATCATATCGCGACACCAATCCGAGCGCCAACAGCCCTTTGCACAAATTGATTTAGCCACCCAGAACTCACTCCCATCTCAATGAGGTGGCAGGATGCTCGCAGCATATATCACTGTCACACAAGCACCCTCTAGTGAAATGTGATTTTTATCTTTATGAGCTTTACCCCCCCCCCTCCCGCCTCAACACCGCCACCGCCACCCCTCTTTCAGCACAGCATGTAGCAGGCTTGTGATAAGTGATGAGAAATAAAAGGTTGGCACATTACGCTAATACAGGTGCTCTGTGTGCATATGGGTGCTATCACAGAGGGGAGGGGAGGGGGTGACATTGTTGTGGTCCTGTGCATTGGGAAAAGCGGCTGCGTGGAAGCGGGGGGGAGGGGGGGGGTTGTGCTATATGGCTCGTAGATCACTAACGTGTGGGTGAGAGTTGTCACCAGCCCAGCGCCATGGCTGCGAAGCACAACATAGTTTATGGCGACACAAGCGCGAGACGTATAAGCATGAATCGTGGCCCAGGCAACAATGAGGAAAAAGTGCACTAAAAATAGATGATAAGCTTTTTTTTTTTTTCTTTTCTTTTTATGCGCTCGCCCCAGAAACAATGGCTGCTTTTGATTTTTTTTTTTTTTTTGTGTGTTTTATGTGTTCAAACTGCCGTACAAAAGGGAATGAGGAAGCTGTGTGTAATGACTGAATGGGGCCTGTAGTAAAAAAGATCAGGATAAATACAGCTTCGGGTTGCCTGAAACTGTTTCCCCTCGCTAAAGGGCTGCAAAGACACGATAAATGTTGCACTTTCAAGTGTCTTAATGCACGAAGATAGTCCGGGCTTTTCTCTCCTTTTTTTTTTTCCAACTGACAACCTCTGTTACACAGTTAATTACAGCCAACTGCAACACAGGCGCTGTGTCAATTATCATCTTCTTTAGCTCTCTCTCTCTCCCGATGGATATTTTTACTGCCGCCGTTTGCACTGGTAAAGTTTCTACCTTCTCTTTTATTGCTATTCTGCCCAGGTTCTCCGGGCTGAATTACATTCAGGCAGACAGAGCTGTAAAAACAGAAGGGATTTAAAGGATTCAGATTGGTGGAGGGTAACCTAATCTTCCGTAATTGGGGGAATGGTTCTCATTTATATCAGCCTACTTTAGAAAAGCGAGCTCATCGGGCAGGCTGCGATCATCTCCCGGCATTTTTATTCGGGCGATTCATTTTCATAAAAAGCCGGGGGGATAAATGGAGGGTCGTTGCGCCGCGGCTAAACGTACACACATATTAAACCTAATCATTATTATGAATCGAAAGCGCTACTCTTACTTCGTAGGTCCAGCGGTCGTTCGCGTACACAACATAAACGTCGCACAGAGATTTCCCCCCCCCCACCCCCGCCCCACCCCACCCGCCCATGTGCCGGTTGTGCCTGCTCGCTGGAGTGCTGCGAAATACAACACATAACATTCTGGGCTTTTCTCAAAAATGGAACTAAAATGGTAATCCTCTGCCAGGCGAAAAACGTTCTCGCCTCGCCAGATGCTTAGTTCTGAAATTTGCCTAATTGCCACGCTCAGATCAATCCCTTTAACTCTGCCAGATGAATCTGCCAAAGTGTGTTCCGAGCGGTTTTCCGTTGGCCCAATATGCTTTTTTTTTGTTTTTCTCCTCCTGACTCTCCGAGAGATGTTTTTTTTTTTCCGGTCATGGTGACTTATCCCCACAGCTCCGATGCATGTTGAACCCCTGCTGACCTGCATGCCCATTAGCAATGGTGTTGCAGTGGAGGGCACCGGGCCTATCCGTCTCTGCCTACACACACACACACACACACACACACACACACACACACACACACACACACACACACACACACACACACACACACACACACACACAGAGTACACCCACTCTTCATATGGCTCAGACACATGCCGTGGGCGGACTAAATGCGGCCCTTTGATCAAAGGGCAGAGTGTGGGAACGGACAGTGACTTACTGACCTTCACTTACACACACACACACATACACACACGGATGCACTCACACACTCACACACACATCCATAAACACCCTGTACTCATTACGGTTTATTCCTTTAAAAAAAAGAGTCAAAGTTTATGAGTTCAAGCGTCTCCTCCTGCAATTAAACACAAACTCTCCCACTTATTGCAAACACACACACACACACACACACACACACACACACACACACACACACATATGTGGGCACAAATGTTGATTGAAAAATGCTAATTTGTGCAGCTGCTACTGAAGTCATTAAAACTAAAAAGGCATATTATGAATGGCACACGCAATATGCTTAGCACATCTTGGCGTAGGTATGAAAAACCAAAAGACAAACATCCACTCCAACGACTCATCATCGCCCATCTGCACACACACAGGATGCAACTGGCAGGCATCATGAGAGATGACTGTTTAATGGGAGAGTCCTCGTTCCCAGGATGAAAAATAGAGCGGTGTCAGTTCAAAAAAAGAAGAAGACAGAGGAGAGGTGCCTCTCTTGTGGTGAGTAAATATAGAAAAGTGACGGATGAATCAGAAGTTTAGTCAACAGAGGAAGGAAAAAAAAACCTTGGTTCCAGCTGCCCGGCTGTCTGATGAGCTGCTCCATGCTTGTCAACAACATCACCTATCAACTATCTACTCTACAAAAAAACAAAGACCCGCCCCCTTCATCCCTATCGGCAATTCCTCCATCCTCGGAGAGAAACACCTCCGAAAAGCAGAACGGGATGCTCTCACAGTGGCGGCAGCAGCAGAAGCAGCAGCGGTAATCTCTCTCCCCCCCCCTCCTTGTCTCCCTTCTATTTCCCCTCATCGCTTCTCTCTCTCTCTCTATTCCCCCTGCCTTCTCCGTCCTTCCTTTTTGTCTCTTCTTCTTTCTCCTTACATGCCGCTGCCGCTGCTGCTGCCTCTGCCGCGTTCGGCGCCGCGGATGCAAACATAAAAAAGAGGCAAAGAATATGAAAGAAAAAAAAGAGGAAGAGAGGCAGAGACAAAACCGAAAGGCTGAGGAGGGGGAAAATAAGGCTGGAGGAGCCGAATTAGCATTAGAATACTCACAGTTGTTGTTGTTGAAGGAGAAGGCGCGGGGATGGGGAGAGCGCGGCAACCGGTCCCTCCGTCAGATACAACCTGCGCACACGAGATTGAAGAGGGAGAAAAAAAAAAAAGAAGAAAACTAGGCTGTGAGAGCGGCAAAGAGGGGAGAGGAGGAGGAGGAGGGAGGAGGAGGAGGAGAGAAGAGCAGGACACGGAGGAGGAGAAGAAGAAGAAGAAGAAGAAGAAGAAGAAGTAGAGGGAGGAGGAGGGAGCAAGAGCATCCAATGCACAGAGCCCAAATAAAGAAATAAAGGATTCCTCGAGGAATGTGTGAGTGTGTGTGTTTGGGCAGTGATGGTGTGTGTTGTCATGAGTGAGGAGGGGGCTGAGGAGGTAGGTTGTCTTTGGGAAATATAAAAACACACACACACACTCACATGCGGGGTTGCACTTGGGTGCGCAATCACATCTGACAGGTCTGATCTGCGGTCCACCTACCTCCTTATCGCTACCTCACTCTTCCAAGGCACTGTTCCCTCTCTCACTCTCTCACTCACTCACTCTCTCTCTCTCTCACTCGCTCGCTCACTCACTCTCCATCCCTCTCTGTTGCTCACACTGATGCCGGAGAGATTCAGCCGCTACAGGGGGGGAGCTGTATCGCCCTCATCGCTGTGTGTTACAGAAAGAGAGGGTAGAGGGGAGAGGGGGGGGGGGCACCGGCGGAATCTCCCGGCCGCCCACGCCACCCTGCCCGACATCCAACCATCCCCCCCCCCCTCTTCCCGCCTCAACACAATCACGAACTGCGCACGCTTTTCCACCTCAAAAAATTTACAGAGAAGAGAAACGCTTCAATTGAATGAAAGCAATCCCAGCGGCATTGAGGCAATTATAGAGGCTGCTGGCGCTGTTTTCAGCTTCTTCTTCTTCTTCTTCTTCTTTCCCCGTCTTCCCCTCCTCTTCCTCCCCCCCCCCCGTCCTCACTCGGGCAGGTGGAGGGGGTCTACTTTCCCTCCCTTTCGCTTTTCCTCTGCAGCTTCAGGCATATGCCACTATTAATGGGGCTTCTGTCAGTTCAGCTGTTTTTGGTCAGATCACTTCAGATGTTCTGCTGCCTTTTTTTTTGTTTGTTTGTTTTACCTGCTGGTGTGGTGAGGCTGCACACAGAAATGTGTAACGTGAGAAAAATGATGCACTAACTTTTGTGTGTGTGTGTGTGTGTGTGTGTGTGTGACCCTAAAAAATGTTCAATGCTTTTTTTTTCTCAGCACCAGGTAATGGCTCTACTCTGACATACACATTAGTTTCCACTTCCTGGTACCCGTGATACGCCTGTTTGTTCTGTTAAGTTTGAGAGGCTTGTGTGGTTCGGGTAAGGCGAGAAACTACGACCTAGTTCATGAGAACAATCGATGCGTCTGTTGAAATAAGAAATCTATGTTGTTTCACACGTAGTATGCCTAGCCTGTCTGATGCTAATGCTAATCAGAAATGGTTTAGATTTACTGGGTGAAATATGAATTATCATATGATCCAGTGGATCTAAAGGTTTTTCTGTAATGACCGCCCTTTGAGCAGGAAAAACAGCCCCCTGAAACATAAAGTTATGTGACTGACAGCTCCCCTATCCTCTCAAATTTTGTAGAAAACATTTGGGAAGGAGGACTTGTTGACGAAGGTATAACACTTACGGGTGCTTAGAATTTATTACATCATAAATTCTCATCACAGCTCCACCTATTTACAATCTGTCCTGGTCTAATCAGCCTGTGTGGGTGTACAGAGGCTTTTAAGTTCTAACAAAAGGAAATGTTCCACATTTAAAATACAAAGAAATCGACCAACAGCCTCTAGAAACACAACCTAAATAGTTGAACATAAATCCTGTCTCTGACAAAGCGATCATTAGCCAATCATTGTTTTGGATTTTGGCTTGCCACAAGGGGTGGCCGATCACATTTTAAGGGGGGCACCAATTTAGCCCCGCCCCTGTCCAGGCCCCCTGTGGCTCCTCTTTCATGTAACCATGCCTTAACAGGGTCAGCACCCCACAGTTTGACAAACACCAGTGTAATCCAATCCAAACAAACACTGAATGTAAACAGACGAGGCTGCGACACGTTTTTGTCAGCCTGAAAAAAAGAAGCTCCAAAACTCTGACTCCAAACTCCACCTTGCACAACCTGACAGCCACATTCAGCTCCAGAGGTAAAATATATTAATCCCTCGCAACCTTATCTGGCCTTGCAAGGCTAGTGCGGCACGGCGCCCGAACAACACAAATGATTCAGAAGGAACTTGAATAACTGTCTTTTTAGGTCTGGCTTTTTGATGCATGCTGCTCCTGCTTTTTTTCCTCTTTGAAAACCTAGCAGTACATATATCACCCAAAAAAAAGAAGAAGAGGAGCTGTAAGTCAAACACCTCTAATCAGGTAGCCCATCCTCCTTCCCCCTCCGCCCCCGCACATTGCATCCCTCCAGCCACTACTGCACTTTATCTCCCCTCAATTAACATCTTCTGAGCGAGCCTCTATTATCTTAACCGCACAGAGCGGGAGAGAGGGGTCCTCCGAGGAGACTGCCGTGGAGGAACGGCTGAGCAGTGGACAGAAGGGGGCTCCCAGCCCCTGCTGCCGCCGCCGCCGCTTTCAATCCGCAGGCCTAATTAAAGCCCGAGTCAGACATGACAAACTGCGAGAGCAGAAAGGTGCTACAGAAACAAACACCGTCAGGAGCACTGGCTGCTGCGCCGGGTTTCTTGTAGCCCCGAGGATTCTCTTTGTGGGGATTATCTGCCAGAAAACAGGCACGTTCACGTCAGCATCATGACAACATCATCTAAATCTCCGGCGACTGTTTGATCGTGTTTATTTTCTACCTTGTGTACGGGCATCACCACAGTGTCACTGCATCCTCTATAAATCATTCTTTATGTGAGCGAGAGAGAGACAATGCTGCTTCCCTTAAGCCCAAGGATTCCTATAAAATATTTAAGTGATATTTTGTTGACGTCATGCTCGTGTAGGGCTAATTCCCGCTTTGTATAATGCCCTCCATGCCCTGTTTCATTTGTTTGGTTTGCCCTCTCAATTTCACCCTATGAAGCCATCAAACCACCCATTAAGCCATCACGCTGCCCTCTTTGTCCTTGCACCCCCCCCCCCCCCACCTTCGTCTGACAACAACAGCGCGAGCCGGTGTCCACCCCTGCACTTTTGCTCTGAGGTATCCTGGCTGTTTGGCCCGGCCCTGCCCGCCCACTTTGGCTCAAGCCAGAACCATTAAGACTATTCTATTACTGTTGGGTTAACCTGTCACGCTCGGCTGTGGCTCTCTTTATTGTGTGGCCACTCTGAAAAGGGCAAGGGGATAAAACTCCATCAGCAGGACAAACGACCACGCATGCCGACATTCATCAGACACCCCGGGGGGTTCTCCCCCTGTGGACGCATGGTCACTGCAACCTCTCCGACGCCGCAAGGGTATATAGCCTTTTTGCTCCCCCCCTGAAAATGTGGGATTCCCAGGGGCCGATCCACACGGCCGAGGATGGACAGAGTGGCATCTTTTGGTCACATAACATTTCCGTCCTTAATCACGACTCTGGGAATAGCAGTTCCATCAGGACTGAAGGCACTAATGTATTGACTGAGATCAGGTAGAGCGCCAGGGCGGTGTGTGGAAGTGATTAAGAAAGCAGACTAGTGATCAGCGGATGACAGGGGTCAATCCCCTGTTGGGCAATTGGGTAGTGGCCTTGGGCGAGGTACTTAGCCCACAACACACCAGCGAGACACTCGACTGTGAGAGTGGATAAAATGTCAAATTCAACTTCACCCTGTGCGAAAAGGTTCAAAGCAAGGAGATGACAGCGAACGCTTTGGTTATTAAAAAATTCATATCGTAATGAAACAGCCGTGTTCCATCTTCACACATCCCCCCCTCCAGCAAATACGCCGCTCCTTTTTTTTTTCCACGGGATCCATCAAGGGAGGGCCACAATTAAGTGACTAATTTGATTAGGAGATAATGTGAGTCCCACTTAATGGAAAGGACAGACTTCACAACACAGGCAGATTAGTTTGGTGGATGCCTGCTTATTAATTAAGACAGCCCTCCATGCACCATATTAAGTCAAATGCACAGATGCAGTTTTAACGGGTCAGGGTATGCACAAGTAAGACAAATGGAAATGTGCAAAAAAAAAAAAAAAAACAGACGCTGGCAAAGCTGAAAATGACCACAGACTCTTTTTTATCAAATTTGAAATACTTGGCTCTACGCCTACATTATTTACCGATTCATTACGTAAGAAGGAGCTGGAGCTGGATGTTTAAAAAATGTCAAAGTACTTCTCATCTCGACTTTCAGTGTGCTACATCTGTGCTTCCACTGTGTGTCATTGCACACCATAGCAACAGCCAAGTCATTACATTCCCTTGCTGTCATTCACTTTTTTTTTTTGTCTCAGATACTACATAAGCTCTTCAGAGAAACTGCAGCTTTTCATTTTTACGATTTCATCTGAATGCTGAGCCAGTTGCCACGACTAGTTCTCCATCCCTCAGAAGTTTTGGATATAAACACATGCTGAATAATTTATTAATAAACCAGTTTAATGTTTGAGCAAAAAGCAAATCAATGGGGCCAATTTTCTCTTCTGTAAACTATCATTAGGGCTGAATTCTTGCCTTGACTGAGTTGCTTAGAGAGAGTTATTTTGGGGCTTTTTGCCTAGATTTGATAGGCCAGTGGATAGCGTAGGAAATTGGGAGAGAGTGGGGGATGATATGTGGGAAAGGAGCTGCAGGTTGGACTCGAACCCTTGCTGGCACCTTGGAGGACTATAGCCCCGAACATAGGCCATCTGTGCCCCAATGCTGGTATTTTTTTCTTAACATATAGCCTAATTCTTATGGCCGTAATCAACAACTGATCCACCAATTATCCTCAAGAAAAATAGGGCTCGGGTCAGAAAATATCAACCTAAATGGATTGTGCTGAACCCTAACATGCTAAGGTTTTTATAGTAAATGTCTTAAAGCTTTACAGAAATAACTTCTACACCTATACCTTCATAGATAAACA